TGTTGATAGTGAGGAAGGTTATCAAAAATTACAGAGGGATCTTAATCAGATGGTAAAGTGGGCTGAGGATTGGCAATACAATTCAGTACAGATAAATGTGAGATGTTGCACTTTGGAAAGTCAATCCAAGGTAAGGCTTATACAGTAAATGGTAAGGTCCTGAGGAATGTTGTGGAACAGAGGGACCTAGGAGTACAAGTACATAGTTCGTTGAAAGCGGCATCACAGATAGACAGGGTGGTGAAAAAGGCATGTAGCATGCTGGCCTTCATCGGTCGAGGCATTGAGTATAGGAGTTGGGACGTTATGTTACAGTTGTATAAGTCGTTGGTGAGGCCACAGGAGTATTGTGCACAGTTTTGGTCACCCTGTTATAGGAAAGACATAGTTAAACTGGAAAGTATGCAAAGACGATTTACAAGGATGTTGCCAGGACTAGTAGACCTGAGTTATTGGGAGAGGTTGGCCAGGATAGGACTTTGTGGTTGGTTGGCTCGCTGAGCTGGTTCGTTGTTCTGCAGATGTTTCATTACCCTGCTAGCTAACATCATCAGTGCAGCCTCCAATGAAGCGCTGTTGTATTTTCCCACCTGTTATTTAAACTCTGGTGTCTGTTGAACTGGATTACCTAATTTCTGGTTTTCCTTCGCAATGGAGTGTATATGGGCTCTAGCTCTGTGTTTTTGATGGCTTTCTTAGTGGAGTACCAGGCTTCTAGGAATTCCCGTGCTTGACCTTATTGAGGTGTATAAAATCATGAAGGCCATAGATAGGATGAATACATTTGTCTTTTTCCCAGGGAAGGGAAACTTAAAAACTAGAGGGCATAGGATTAAGGTGAGAGGGGAAAGACTTAAGAAGGACCTGAGGGAAACTTCTTCACACAGAGAGTGGTACGCATATGGAAAGGGCTGCCAGAGGATGTGGTTGAGGCAGGTACAATAGCAACATTTTAAAAAAAAACATTTGGATAGGTACATGGATGGGAAGGGTTTAGAGGGATATGGAATTAATGCAGGCAATTGGAACTAGCTGAGTGGGCACCTTGGTCAGCATGGAGCAGTTTGGGCTGAAGGGCCTGTTTCCATGCTGTAGTACTCTGTGTCTCTGTGACTCTAAGTGCTCCACCATGGGTTTGGTGGCCAGGCACGAGTCTCCTTTGCTGCTGCTGGAACGAAAGTTGCCATTATTTGGCACCATGTTACCTCCACTGATGCCCTACCACTGAGTCCTCACTGACTTCACCAATGCAGCAGCTAATGATGCCAGTAGATACCATACCAGCCCAAACTCAACTCCGCCACTGGCATGAGTCTGCTTCAGGCCTACCCCACCAGTGCAGCCACTGCTGATGTTGCTGGGTCTCATACTGGACCCAAACTCACCTCTGCCACCTCCATGAACCTGCCGATGCCACTGAGAACCCAAACTCGCCTCTGCTGCTGTAGCCACGAGTCAGAGCTAGGACTGCCTCATCGATGCAGAAGCTGCCAGGAACGTGAACTCGCGTATACTATACAGGCTGGACTCTGGTGTCTAGAAAAGTAAGAGGTGACTTAATTGAGACATATAAAACCCTCAGAAATCTGGACATGGTAGATGTGGAGAAAATGTTTCCTGTTGTGGGAGAATCAAGAACTAAGGGAACTGTTTAAAAATCGGGGTGACCATTGAAACATGAGAATTTTTCTTTCAGAGGATCATGAATTTTTGCTTCTACTACCTTCTGAGGAAGAGAGTTTGAGTCCTTGTATATTTTTAAGGCAGAATTTGGTAGATTCTTGATGTGCAGGGGGGTGAAAGATGATTGGGTTTGGGAATATGAAGTAATCAGAGCAGATAGGATCTTATTAAATGGTGGATAGACAGGCCTAAATGGGCTCAGTGGCCTACTCCTCATTATTCAAGGGCAAATAGGGATGGGCAATAAATGCTGGCCTGCCAGCGATGGCCACATCCATGAGTGAATAAAAACAAATGGTGTATGATTGTATGTAAATTAATAAAATTGTTTGCATTGACTAGACTTGCATTCCCCTGAGTTTAGAAGATTAAGGGATGTTCTGATCAAAGTGTTTAAAAATGTCAAAAGGATTTGATAAGTGGATCTAGAGAAGCTACTACCTCTAGGGAAGAAACCATGACAAGCGGACATCATGTTAAAAGCACAGCTGGACCATAATCTCTGCAGATGTCAGTGATCAGCTTTCTGTGAAGGCTAGTGGATATCTGGAGGAGTCGATTTTCAAAGGCTGTGGGTGCTGGGGGTCACCTGGAGCTTTCCGCACTGAGATCAATAGGTAATTGTCTGGTAAGGAGTGTAGTGTTGAGGAGTATTGTGTAAAGGCAGGTCATTAGAGTTGACATCCTCTATGATCTCCATTGAGCAGGTTCCAGGAGCTGAATGGCCTTCTTCTGTTCCCATGTTTCTTTTAAACTGTGGTGTAGAGGTGCTGGTGTTGGACTGGGGCACACAAGGTCAGAAATCACACAACACCAAGTTATAGTCCAATAGGTTTATTTGAAAACACAAGCTTTTGGAGCCTCAGTCCTTCTTCAGGTGTTAGTGAGAGAGGTGGTGTCAGACAGAATTTAAGTAAAAGATCAAAGGTTCACACCATTGAGGATGTACTAAATAAACCTATGTAAATCCCTGAATTCCTTTCAAGTCACTGTCCTGAGAGAACTAAAGGTTTTATTGGTGTAAAGAAGAGGTGACATTTTAGGTTGGACAATGCATATTAGGTATGAGGCCTTGTTTAGAATCTCTTTGTGTTTTAGTTTGGAGTCAGACTGGTTTTATTTCTAAAGTAGGAATTTATAAAACACCATATTGACTGACTGTCTATAAATTGTGTGCTTTTTGAACAAAATAAAATGTATCTGCAAATAACAGTTCACCCCATAGATTCGTGTGTGTGTGTGTGTATGTGTGAGAGGGGAGAGAGAGTGTGTGTGTGAAGCATTGGGGGGGCGGTGGAGAGAGAGTGTGTGTGTGAGTGTGTATAGTGCGATGGGGTCACCTGTAGTTCAACATGAACCCAAGATCCTGGTTGAGGCTGTCCTCATGGTTCGAACATGGCTATCAGCCTCTGCTCGGAGACTCTGTTGTTGTGTATCCCGAAGTCCGCCTTGGAGGATGTTTACCCGAAGATCTGAGGCTGAATGTACTTGATCTGCTGAAGTGTTCCCCCACTGGGAGGGAACGTTCTGGTGATTGTTGCACGGTGTCCATACATTCGTTGTTGTAGCGTCTGCATGATTTCGCCAATGTACCATGCCTCGGGACATCCTTGCGTGCAGCGTATGAGATAGACAACGTTGGCCAAGTCACATGAGTATCTGTCATGCACGTGGTGGGTGGTGTTCCCACGTGTGATGATAGTGTCCATGTCGAAGATCTGACATGTCTTACAGAGGTTACCATCACAGAGTTGTATAATATTGTAGTTGATGTTGTCCTGAAGGCTGGGTAGTTTGCTGCGGACAATGGTCTGTTTAAGGTTTGGTGGTTGTTTGAAGACGAGAAGTGGAGGCGTGGGGAACATCTTGGTGAGATACTCATCGTCATCGATAATGTGTTGAAAGCTGCGAAGAACATGGTGTAGTTTCTCTGCTCCTGGAAGTACTGGATAACGAAGGGGACCCTATCGGACATATCCCGTGTCTGTCTTCTGAGGAGGTCATTACGGTTTTTCGCTGTGACCCTTTGGAACTGGTGATCGATGAGTTGAGCATTGTATCCTGTTCCTATGAAGGTGTCCTTTAACACCCTCGGGTGTCTGTCTTGTTCCTCCTCATCCGAACAGATTCTGTGTATGCACAGGGCTTGTCCATAGGGGATGGCTGTTTTAATATGTTTTGGCTGGAAGCTAGAGAAGTGCAGCATTGTGAGGTTATTTGTCGGCTTGTGGTAGAGTGACGTACTGAGGTGTCTGTCCCTGATGGCGATGCATGTGTCCAAGAATGAGACTGATTCTAAAGAGTAGTCCATGGTAAGTCTGGTGGTGGGATGAAACTTGTTGATATCACTGTGTAGTTGTTTCAGTGATTCCTCACCATGAGTCCAAAGGAAGAAAATGTTGTCAATGTATCTGGTGCATAGTATTGGTCGGAGGTTCTGTGCAGCAAAGAAGTCTTGTTCGAACCCGTGCATGAAAATGTTGGCATATTGGGGAGCAAACCTGGTCCCCATGGCTGTTCCGTGCACTTAGATGAAGAACTGGTTGTCGAAGGTGAAGATGTTGTGGTTGAGGTTGAAGCAGATGAGTGGTACTGAGGCTGTTCGGTGATGTCATCATCCTGAGGGATGCTGGTTTAGAGTAAGGGTCCATTGTGAGCAGGAATGTTCCTGGTTCGATTGGTCCTCCGGAGTGAACATCCTCTTTGCAATCTGGTCAAACGTGATGTGACTCAATTTAAAAGAATAAGATTGATGGAATTCAGAGGGAGGGTTACAGTACCACTGGGGTTGTGTTTCAATGGAGGCAGATGTCAGGTACATGGAGAATTACAGAAATGATGGTAAGGAAACGGCTTTAAACTCTTCTTGCCATGTCCCTTGAACCACGAGTCTAATCCACATTACAATCTAACCCAGTCCTATATTCCATTGCATCCTATTCCTGTGTATAAAGTATGGTTCTCCAGCTCTGTCTAAAATTGTTTCCATTTGATCTACAGCCTGTGAGGAGAGAGAGGTTTAAAAATCGCCAGAGATGTAGAGGAATAGGAGTCCTTTGGAGTGGTTTATTGTTGGTTTGTTTTCGTGGCCGAACGCTCCGCGCACATTTTGATTTTGGTTGCAGAACCATATTTGTCTCTTTAAGGGGGCGGAGAATTGGTGGACAGGCACTGGGACGGAGCGGGAGACATGGCCTCGTCTCCAAAAGTTAGTATCGGGAGAGGAGCAGCAGTATAATACTGAGGGCAGGGCAGCGCCGAGAGGCTGTGAAAGTTGTGTTAACGAATGTGATTCTAACAGCTGTTTCTTTCTACAGCCTGTGCTATACACGTACTTCAGGAGTTCCTGCTCATGGAGAGTGCGAATTGGTGAGTAGCTGACCAATGAAGCCTTGGGAAATTGGAGCATTGCCTTCTCTGGCTGTAGCAGAAATTAAACTTGCATGGTCTCTTTGTTGCGTGCTTGCAGAGGTTTTGTGTCTCAACGATAGTGTCTCTACCTTGAGTTTAAGTCCCAGCTCCTTCAGCCGTGTGTCTGAGCAAAACCAAAAATTGAGTATGCTGGAGAAATTCAGCAGGTCTGGTAGCATCTGTGGAGAGAAAGCAGAGTTAACATTTTGGGTCCCGTTTCTCTCCACAGATGCTGCCAGACTTGCTGAGTTTCTCCAGCACGTTCTTTTTCTGTTTCACATTTCCGGCATCCGCAGTTCTGTTTGAGCAGGTTGATTAAAAAGATATTCCAAATGATCATCTTTGATTTTACACAGCGGGGAGACACACTGGAATGCAAGTGAGAGTTTTCAAATGTGTTTACATTTAAGAGTTTGTAAAACCTTTCCCCCCATCTCTGTGACCACACAGCTCTCGCTTTCAAGGGAGTCGCTTATGACCAGGTAGCCGTCAATCTGATTAAAAGCGGAGGCCAGCAGGTATGTTTCCAGCCTTTTCCACATCTGTCCTTGCCCTGTTTCTGAGCCATTACACTATACCTCATTTCCATCCCCGAGAATTTTCCCCTTCTTGTCAATTTTTGTCATTTTTAACTGCACAAACTCCCTTCTAAGCGCTGTGGAACACCCATTTTCTGAATAAGGTAGGAGTGAAAGAGCCTACCACCTATTTTTGTAGGGCAGAAAGTAATGTACAGGTTTGTCTGTCTGGTAGGTAAACTTACAAATCCAAGGCAAGAGTAAGCCATTTGGCTTCCTGAGCCTGCTCCAGCATTCAGTAAGATCATGGCTGATCTGATTACTCCACATTCCTATTTACCACCAATAACCTTTCAGCCCTTTGCATCTGAAAAAATCTATTTACTTCTGCCTTAAAAATGTTCAAGCATTCTGCTACAATGGAGTTCCAAAGACTTATAGATGGCAGTGAAAATTCTCTTCAGCTGTCTTAAATGGGCAACCACTTATTTTTCAAGTGACCCCTCTGTTCTCAATTCTCCCACAAGAGGAAACGTCCTCTCCACGTTTGCCCTGCCAAGACCCTTCAAGATTTTATATTTCAGTCAAGTGGCCTCTTACTCTTCTAAATTGCAGCAGATAGAAGCCTAGCCTGTCAAACCTTTCCTCATAAGACAACCCACTCACTCCAGCTAATATTCTGGAAAACTTTCTCTGAATTGCATCCCCCTTTGAACTAGGGGACTGTAGTTTGTAGCCAGTTTTTATCTGCAGCCAACACCTAACACTATCTTGTGGAATTAGGAGTGCATTGGAAGTATTACACTGTTAGATAATCTTTAAATTCCATGTTAATCTGTGGCTTCTCATCTCTATAGCATGTTGATTCGTTCAAGACTATCAATCCAATGAAGCAAGTTCCAGCTCTTGCTATTGATGGCATTATCCTCTCCCAATCGGTAAGCTTGTTTGTTATGGGAAAGGGAAGAGGGGAGTTCGTTTTCTGTTACTGATTGATGTTTTTCAGTTGTTATCTGAGGTCAGAGTTCCAAAGTCTGTTTTCTGGCTGTGTAAATATTTAATTTGTAATCTGACCTGTTTTGCACTCACCAAAAATGGTGAATCCAAGTTAATTCAGTGGTAGAAAGATGGAATGTGCTGCCTGAGAGGGTGATGGAGGCAGGTTCTTGCAACATTTGAGAAGCATCCGGATGAGCACTTAAAAAGCCGAGTATCGGCTATGAACTAAGTACAGGTAAATAGGATTAATGTAGTTTGTGTTTATTGATCGGTGTTGACATGGTCGGTGGGGTGGGTGCAAAGGGCCTGTTTCTATGCTGAATGACTCTATAATATCTGAAATCTGCTGTTTATTGACTTCCCCACTGTTGAAAATAATTTCTCTTTTATTTATCCCAGAAAATAATTTTCATAACTTTGAACAACTTTATTGCATATCATTTCAACTCCCTTAGCTCTTGGGGGAATGCTTCACTTTCCTTAGATGCTTTACATAACTGAAATCCCTCTTCCCTTGTGTCATTCTAGTAAATGTCACTATCTTCTTCAGTTAATGAAGTGTTTTATTTCTCATTGAAGGAGAAATGATGTCCAGAGTACAGGGTGAGATCATTTTTTTTCTCTTGAATATGCCAATGGAATTTTTAATGTCTAATGCCACGCATCTTTACAGGAGACATCCTCCTGACAGTGCAATGCTGTTTCAGTACTGTGTTGGAGTGTCTGCCCATACATGAGCTCAAATCTCAAGTGTGGCTTGACCATCACTGTCTTCTGACCTAGAAGTGAGTGTCCACTGAGCTAAGCTGCCCGTGCAAGTGATTACTACAACCAAGCAAAGTTACAGTTTGAGGTTCCTTTTCATATTTGATGACTCTGACAAACATTTATTTTGAAAAACAATTAATGGAGTTAAAATATGATAAATTGTCCTTAAATCTCCTTTTTTTTATCCTCCTCTCATGAAAGTTTTAGCTTCCAGTAATCACCAAATGTGTCACTGATTTCACTGTTGTTGACACTTGGTTGCCAAAGTCTTCTGAGAGAAATTATTTGCACAGGCAGCCTCCGCTATTGAGTATATTCAATACAGATTATATGGATATGAAAGAAAGTAATGGATGTGGGGATAGTGTAAGAAGCTGGAGTTAATGTAGAAAATCAGTGATCATGATGAATGACAAAGCAGATCTGAAGGGCTGAATAGCCTCCTCCTGTTTCTCATTCTAACTAGGTCACTCTTGACATCCCTAACTAGCAGGACTGGAACTCTCCCATACTCTTTATTAGATGGTAATGGTCCTGTTTCTCTGTTGTAATGTCTATGTCGTTTCAGTCTATAAATCTATCTGTATTTCTAGAATTGGGAAAACTTTGAGTTTTTAGTTTATTCTCAAGTATAATTACTGCTGCTTGAATGATCAGTAACTTTCTCTCCTAATGGTAGCTGGCTATAATTCAGTACCTGGATGAGACTAGACCTGGTCCTCGGCTGCTCCCAGAGGATGCCAAAAAACGTGCGCAAGTTCGGATGATTTCTGACCACATCACCTCTGGAATCCAACCTCTGCAGGTATGACTTTGACTGTAGAAACTCATTTTTTGAGCTGTTGTTACTTTTGGACTGGAGGCCATTTCCATTTCTGGTGAGCCCATAGAAACCAAAAGAACTGTGGATGCTGTAAATCTGGAACAAAAACAAAAGTTGCTGGAAAAGCTCAGCAGGTCTGGCAGCATTTTGTGAAGAAAAATCAGAGTTAATGTTTCAGGTCTGGTGACCCTTCCTCATAACTCAGGAAGGGTCACAGGACCTGAAACATTAACTCTGATTTTTCTTCACAGATGCTGCCAGACCTGCTGAGCTTTTCCAGCAACTTCTGGTGGGTCCATGTTCCCTTCAATCATCTGTGTATCAGGCACATGGTGCCAGTATCAGATTGAATAAACCTTGGAGGGGACTGCTCAGGTCAGGTAAGGTCACTCAGGATGAGATTTGTTTGGCTTCACCATTGGTACCAATGTGTTTGTAGCTTGCTTGTGATGTCTGATTGCATATTTTTTTTCAGAACCTGCATGTTTTGCAGAAGCTAGGAGGGGAGAAGAAACTTGAATGGGCTCAGCACTTCATCATTAACGGCTTCCAAGGTAAATCTGATGGGCAGTCCCATAAACTAATTACACCAGACAAGTACTGTATAACATTCTAACCCACATTGCACTAATGCCACCACCTCCATCAGCCTCTCCTCCACATTCATATTCTGCTGATACCCACATCATCATCTCCAGCCTTGACTATTCTGCTGATGCTTTGCCAACTTTCCATTGTCAACTCTCACTCTCAACCTGAGCTCATCCAAAATTCTACTGCTGGTGCCCTAACTTGCATCATGTCCTGTTTATCTGTCACCCAGCTCATTCTGGCAATTTTAAATTTCTCACCTTTATTCACTTCCTTGGATTCATGCCTCCCTATACTTTGCATCTTCCTCCTTCAGCCCCATGCCCCTCTGAGATCACTGTGCTCCTGCAATTCCAGCCTGTCGCACATGCCCATCGCTCCACCATTAGCGGCTCTGCCTTCAGCTATCTGCGCTTCAAGGTCTGGAATTCCCTCCTAAACTTCTTCCTCCCTTAAGGTGCTCCTTAAAATCTCTCTCTCATAACCGAGTTTTTGGTCAGTCAGAGTCCCTGATACTTGTTCCTGTCAAATATGTCGTGAAGTCTTATTATGTAAAAATGCATGTTGTTGTTTGCACCACCCTCTGCTAATGTCTGCCTCTTTTCCAGCCCTGGAGAGTCTCCTACAATACACAGCTGGGCGGTACTGTGTTGGGGATGAGGTGTGTATGGACGTGCATTCTGTTTTAGGACAGAGTTAGAAGATTTTGGGTCAGTGACTGACCTTGATGCACTGTACAGTTTAGGGCAAGCACTGATGACAGACCAAAAACATCCAAAAAATCACATCCTTGTGGCCAAGTCATCTTAACACTGGACAGAGACGTACACACACCCCACCCTGGGGTGTTGACTGTTTCTGTCTAATGGGTATTGTATTCTTTCCTTACATGGATAACATGCAGCCCAAAGAGTTGAGTGTATAATCCAGGCAGAAACTCTGCAATATGGAGGGAGTGCAGCATAGCCAGAAGGTGAGACAGGTTGAAGCGTGGCACTGCTGGATATGTTGTGTTTCAAACAAGAGGTCAAACTAAAGGCTCATCTTCTAGTTGCTGAGTCAGTACTTATTAAACTTTTACAGCTCTCTTTGAAGAGAGAAGGACTGTAATTGTGCACAACACCACCAGCCACATTGGATTTACAATGTCAACTCAGTTTTTCTCTTCACTGCTCCCAGACTTGCTGAGTTTCTCCAGCTCATTGCTGGAAATCCAAAACAACAACATCCGCAGTATTTTGCTTCCATTTTACCCCTGGTCAACCAATCTTTCCTCCAGATGTCCTACAACTTTCTAATATTGATGACAGTTGTCATTTTCAGGCACTCTGTAGACACTCTATACAGACAACTTGAGGAACATAGGAACAGAAGTAGGCTATTCAGTCCTTCAAGACTGTTCTGCCATTGGATGAGGTCATGGCTGGTGTGTGGCCTAACCCATATAACTGCCTACGGCCCATATCCCTTAGTTCCCTTCTCTTAACAAAAATTTTATCTATCTGTGATTTAAAATTAAAATGATCCACTGCTGTTTGTGAAAGAGAGTTTCAAACCTCTACCAGCCTTTGTGTGTCGAAGTGCTTACTAACATTTCTCCTGAATCTCTGGATTACTACCTGTGCCACGTGATAACGAGGTAAGAAATAGGGAGAGAGTGCAGCTAAACACGTGGCTACAGGGCTGGTGTAGCAGGGAGGGCTTCCATTATGTGGATAATTGGAACACATTCTGGGGAAGGTGGGACCTGTACAGTAAGGACAGGTTGCACCTGAACTGGAAGGGCACAAATATCCTGGGAGGGAGGTTTGCTTGAGCTGTACGGGATGGTTTAAACTAGTTTGGCAGGGGGTGGGGAACCGGATTTATAATTCAGAGGATGAAGTATTCGGCCTTCCAACAGACACAACAGGGAGTGAGGTGGTTTATAAAGAAATGCGGTTGATGGAGTGTAATTGCGGACACCGAGATGGTTTGAAGTGTGTATACTTCAATGCTAGAAGTATCAGAAATAAAGCGGATGAACTTAGAGCATGGGTCGGTACTTGGAACTACGATGTTGTGGCCATTACAGAAACTTGGGTACCTCAGGGAGAGGAATGGTTGTTGGAAGTTCCGGGATTTAGATGCTTTAAAAGAAATAGGGTGGGTGGAAAAAGAGGTGGGGCAGTGGCATTGCTAGTCTGGGCGAGTATAGCAGCTACTGAAAGGCAGTTCGAGAATGATATGTCTACAGAGTCAGTTTGGGTTGAGGTCAGGAACAAGAAAGGAGCAGTCACTTTGTTGGGGTTTTTTTTTTACAGAACCCCTAATAGTTGCAGAGAAGTAGAGGAACGGATTGGGAGGCAGATACTGGAAAGGTGCAGAAGTCACAGGGTTATAGTCATGTGTGACTTCAACTTTCCAAATATTGATTGGAAACATTTTAGTTGTAATAGTTTAGATGGAGCGGATTTTGTCCAGTGCGCTCAGGAAGGATTCCTGACACAGTATGTAGATAGACCAACACGAGGAGAGGCCACTTTGGATTTGGTGCTTGGCAACAAACCGGGCCAAGTGTTAGACCTGTTGGTAGGAGAGCATTTTGGCGGTAGCGATCATAACTCTGTTTCTTTCATGATAGTCATGGATAAGGATAGGTACATATGGCAGGGTAAAGTTTATAATTGGGGGAAGGGTAATTACAATTCAGTTAGGCAAGAACTGGGTAACATAAACTGGGAACAGATGCTGTCAGGGAAGAGCACCACAGAAATGTGGAGATTGTTTAAGGAATGCATACTGCACGTGCTCGCTATGTTTGTCCCTAGCAGGCAGAGAAGATGCAGTTGAGTGAGGGAGCCATGGTGCTCGAGAGGTCGAACGACTGGTTAAGAGGAAGAAGGAGGCTTATGTAAGGTTTAGGGAAAGAAGAACGGAAAAGGCTCCGGAGAGATACAAGTTAGCCAGGAAGGAGCTGAAGAAAGGGCTGAGGAGAGCTATAAGCAGGCATGAGAAAACTTTGGCGGATAGGATCAAGGAAAACTCCAAGGCTTTTTACACGTATGTGCAGAACAAGAGGATGACCAGAGAAAGGGTTATAAAGGGAATTTGTGCACAGAGCCTAAAGAGATAGGAGAGGTCCTTAATGAATACTTTTCTTCAGTATTCACAACTGAGAGGGACCTAGTTGTAGAGGAGGACGTTGTGAAACAGGCAGGTAGGTTAGAGGAGGTTGATGTTAGTAAAGAAGATGTGCTGGGAATTCTGAGGAAGTTGAAGATAGATAAGTCCCCTGGGCCTGATGGGATTTATCCAAGGATTCTATGGGAAGCGAGGGAAGAGATCGCAGGGCCTTTGGCGATGATCTTTTCGTCCTCGCTGTCCATGGGTATAGTGCCGGAAGATTGGAAAGAGGCAAACATCATTCCCTTGTTCAAAAAAGGGAACAGGGATAACCTCGGAAATTTCAGGCCAGTTAGTCTTACATCAGTGGTGGGCAAATTATTGGAAAGGGCTCTGAGAGACAGGATTTATGATCACTTGGAAAGGCACAGTTTGATTCGTGATAGTCAGCATGGATTTGTGAGGGATAGATCATGCCTCACAAACCTTATTGAATTCTTTGAAGAGGTGACCAAACACGTGGATGAAGGTGGAGCAGTGGATGTGGTATACATGGATTTAAGTAAGGCGTTTGATAAGGTTCCCCATGGTAGGCTCATGCAGAAGGTAAGGAGGCATGGGATAGGGGAAAATGTGGCCGATTGGATTCAGAATTGGCTGACCCTTAGAAGACAAAGGGTGGTTGGTAGTGGACGGAAAATATTCAACATGGTGCTCAGTTACGAGTGGTGTACCACAAGGATCTGTTCTGGGTCCTCTTCTATTTGTGATTTTTGTAAATGATTTGGATGAAGGAGTGGAAGGATGGATTAGTAAGTTCACAGACGATACGAAGGTGAATCACGTTGTGGATAGTGCGGAGGGCTGTTCTAGGTTAGAAAGGGACATTGATAGAATGCAGAGCTGGGCTGAGAAGTGGCAGATGGAGTTTAACCCTGAAAGGTGTGAGGTGATTCATTTTGGAAGGACAAAGTTGAAAGCAGAATACAGAGTTAACGGAAAGATTCTTGGCAGTGTGGAGGAGCAGAGGGACCTTGGGGTTCATGTTCACAGTTCCCTGAGAACTGCCACCCAGGTGGATAGAGTTGTTAAGAAGGCGTATGGTGTGTTAGCTTTCATTAATAGAAGGATTGAGTTCCAGAGCCGTGAAGTTATGCTCCAGCTATACAAAATCCTGGTTGGGCCACATCTGGAGTATTGTGTCCAGTTCTGGTCACCTCGTTACAGGAAAGATGTGGAAGCGTTAGAAAAGGTGCAGAGGAGATTTACCAGGATGCTGCCTGGAATGGAGGGAAGGTCTTACGAGGAAGGGTTGAGAGAGCTAGGGCTTTTCTCTTTAGAACGACGAAGGATGAGAGGTGACTTGATAGAGGTGTACAAAATGATCAGAGGTATAGATAGAGTAGACAGCCAGAGACTTTTTCCTAGGGTGGAGGTAGCTTTTACGAGGCGACATAGTTTTAAAGTGAAAGGAGGTAGATATCGGGGAGATGTCAGAGGTAGGTTCTTTACTCAGAGAGTGGTCGGGGCGTGGAATGCATTGCCGGAGAGGGTAGTGGAGTCGTTCTCATTAGGGGCATTTAAGCGGCTATTAGATAGGCATATGGATGATAGTATAAGGTAGGGGTGGAGGTTAGATAGACTTTAGGTTTAGGGTAAAAATTCGGCACAACATCGTGGGCCGAAGGGCCTGTACTGTGCTGTACTGTTCTATGAATGCTCTGGCCCTCATTCTCAAGACAGTGCCCCTAGTTCTAGAATCCACAACCAATAGAAGTAGTTTCTCAAGGTTTTTGAGAAGATTTGTAGCTCAGGTCGTTGACTTGCTCACCGAGTTGATGAGTTTGTTTGCAGACATTTCGCCAGTATACTAGGTAACATCATCAGTGCTCCTCCGGTAAAGTGTCTGTGTTCTGTCCTGCTTGTTATTTATGTATCATGATTTGCTGGGGTGGGTGGCATCACTTCCAGATTTGCTTCTTAGTGGTTGGTATACGGGGTCCAGCTCTGCAGGTTTGTTAATGGAGTTCCGGTTTGAGTGTCAGGCCTCCAGGAATTCTCGTTCATGTCTTTGCTTGGCTTGTCCTGGGATGGCTACTTTGTCCCAGTCGAATTGATGTTGCTGTTTGTCCATGTGTATTGAAATGAGTGATAGTTGGTCATGTCTCTTGGTAGCTAGTTGGTGTTCGTGAATCCTAATGGCTAGTTTCCTTCCAGTTTGCCCTATGTAATGTTTTTGGAGTCGATAACGATCTGGCTAGGAGGGTGAATAGTTGTTAATGGGGACTGTTAGTGACTAACAGCAGGTAGTGTGTAACGGCAGGCTATGTGATAACAAGGCCTGGTGTGTGGCATAGGGGGCTAGGACATGGGAGACTTTAGGCCCTAAAATTATTGAACTCGATATTGAGTCCGGAGGGCTGTAGGGTCCCCAAGCAGCAAATGAGGTGTTGTTCCTCCAGCTTGCGTTGAGCTTCGCTGGAACACTGCAGCAAACCTGAGGCAGAGATGTTGGCCAGGGAGCAGGGTGATGTGTTAAAGTGACAGGCAACAGGTAGTTCAAGGTCTTTTTTGCGAGCAGGACATAGATTCTGGGAAGTGCAGGTGAAGTGTTGCTTCACCTGGGAGGTATGTTTGGGCCTTTGGATAGTGGGGAGGGAGGAGGTAAAGGGGCAGGTGTTGCACCTTCGCCGGTTACAGGGGAAAGTGCCGTAGGGCTGTGGGGAGGTGTTGGGGGTGAAGGAAGTGTGGACCAGGGTGTCCCTGAGGGAGCGGTCCCTGCAGAAGACAGATTTGGGAGGGGAGGGGAATATGTGTCTGGTGATGGCATCTCACTGGAGGTGGCGGAAATGGCATCTGATGATCTTCTGGATGTGGATGCTGCTGGGTGGTGGGTAAGGTCGAGCGGAACCCCATCGCTGTTGCGGGAGGGAAGAGAGAGAAGAGAAGGCAGAAATGCAGGAGATGGGTCGGACCTGGTTGAGGGCCCTTTTGACAATGGTGCTGGGGAATCCTCGGTGGTCAGGGTGGAAATCGGAGGTGAAATCGATGAACTTTTCCAATTCCAGACGAGAGAGGGAAGCAGCACCAATGATATCATCGATACATCAGAGAAAGAGTTGTGGGTGGGGGCCGGAATAGGACTGGAAGAAGGAATGTTCCACTGAGGAAGGGTCACCGGACCCACCGGTCACCAGACATTAACTCTAATTTTTTCTTCACAGATGCTGCCAGACCTGCTGAGCTTTTCCAGCAACTTGTTTTTGTATCTCTATCCTACTTTGGAATAGTGCCTTTTCCATTCACCTGAGTAGTCGTGCAGAGTATAGTTTAATACTTGATCTGAAAGGTGGCATCTCTGACATTGCAGCAGTCCTTCAGTACTCATTAAGAATGCCCGTTTGGATTCTGTGCTCAAGTGCCCAGAGATGAACTTCAACCCATGACTTCTGATTTAAAGATGAGCTCCACAGTTGACCATGGTGTAAGACGTAGAGGAGGCTAGATGAATGCAGGTTTGCTTTTCGTAGTGTGTTTAGCTGAATCTGCTTGGTTTGATCTCGTGACCCATCCTGTTCTGTTCTAGGTGACAATGGCTGATCTGTGTCTGGTCCCACAAGTGTACAATGCTGAGAGGTAAGGTTTTGTGCTGCGTGGCTGTCAGATCTTTGTGGAAATTGCAACTCAGTCTAGTATTCAAAAAAAGTAAATCGAATTAACTGACACATGAAGAACATTTGACCAAAGTTATAGACTTCACCACTGCCCACTTTTAAACCAACTCAAAATCGCTAACTGTTATACGCTTATGTTAAAGCCCATTTCAGAATTTCACTCTGTGCAAAATGCAGTGGTGAGCACTTCTGTAGCTGGAGTATAATTTGTCTCCTCTTTCTCCTTACACTGTCAACTATAGATGTTTTCTCATCAATCTGTTCAAAGACGTTATCACACATCAAATATGGAAATGAGGCAATCACATAGAAAAGGCCTGTAAAAGAAAAAAAGTTTCAATAGATTTTAACATGACAGATTCCAGTAAGGAGATTACCATGTCAGAAAGATGACTTTAGTATTTTGTGTTATTCTTTGACACAAAATGTTCCAGAACAAGAAGACTGGGTATAATAGATATAACTAATGAACCATAATGTAGTTTTTATTCTGGAATGAATTCATGCAATTTGACCATTTCTGCTGGTGAGGCCGGCATTTGTTTTCCTTGTTTAGCTTACTTGGCCTTTTGAGGGGGCACTTAAGAGTCAACGATATTGCTGTGGATTAGCAGTGTACTGGAAAGTGGTGGTGTAGTGATAATATCACTGGGCTAGTCATCCAGACCCCCAGGCAAATGTTCTGGGGACAAGGGTTCAAATCCCATCATGACCCCAAAAAACTTTTAGGAAATTAGAAACTCACTGACTGTAAACCTTCATAATGAGATCCTGTCCCATTTGAACTGAATTTTAACAATCAGTGCTGAGACTGTGGTTCACGTCGTCACTTCAAGGTTTTTCCTCTCACCCACAGGTTCAAGGTGGACATCGCACAATTTCCCACCATTGTAAAGATCAATAATGCCCTTCTGGATCTAAATGCCTTCAGAATCAGTCACCCATCTTGCCAGCCTGATACACCTCCTGAACCCTGATCCCATTGGCGAGGGCAACATCAGGTCAAACATCTCTTGATGAAACAAGGGAGCTTCTCTCATCAATTGCTGCGTTCGATAGAATGAGCTACTTGGATATTCAAAATGATTAAAAATTATTTATGTTGAGTAATTTACTGTTCTCCTTTGATTGTTTATCAAAAAAAATGTTTCCACCCTTGCATTTGTTAGATTTTTGGCAATGTTTTTGTAAATTACTGTGTCAGCTGTCACATTGTATTTGTAAATCATGCCACTAGATGGTTCTATGGAGTAAGTTTCTATCCCATGTTGTCACCATCTTGTTTTGTTCACATGCTTTTGATTTGTTGACTGATTCGGGCAATAAAGGAAAAAGAAGTCAACTTGTTCTGGTTGGTCTATCAAAGTAAGTCTTGAAAAACAACTGCTGGAACCTAAACTCATTTCAGTGAGTTAAGCTGGATGAACACAGCAGGCCAAGCAAGTGCGTTAAGTAGCAGCTTTAAGGAAAGTAAAAATATGAACATAGAAACATTAAACAAAAGTAGATCATCCATCCCATTGAGCCTGATCTGCCATCCAATATAATTGTGGCTGATCATCCAGTGATCCGTACCCTGTTCTCCTTTTCTCTCCATACAATTCAATCCCTTTAGCCCTAGAAACTGTATCCAACTCCTTGAAAATATTCACTGAGACAGTGGTTCAGTTTGGCTCAACTGCTTTCCACAGGCTTACCACTCTCCTCATCTCATTACAAAATGATCTCCCCTATTTCCTTAGACAGTGAACCCTGTTTATGTTTTCTCACCGGGAACATCCTGGTTTACCCTGGGGAGGCAATGATCTAGTGGTATTATCGCTGGACTGTTAATTCAGAGACCCAGGTAATGTTCTGGGGGCTTGGGTTTGAATCATGCCACAGCAAATGGTAGAATTTGAATTAAATAAAATTCTGAAATTAGAGTCTAATGATCCCCATTAATACATTGCTGATTGTCAGAAGAATCTGCATCTCATTCACTAATGACCTTCATGGAAGTAAATTGCCGTCCTTACCCAGTCTGGCCTACATCTGACTCCAGATCAATGTAGTTGACTCTTAACTGCCCTCTGGGCAATAAATGCTGATCTAGCCAGTGACGCACACATTCTGTGAACGAATGAAAAAAAAACCATGTAGTCCTGTCAGAAATGTAAAGGTTTCTATGAAATATGATCCTCATCCTTCTAAACTAATGAGTACAGTTCTAACTGATCCAGTGTGTCCTCATACACCAGTCCTGCCATCCCAGAAATCAATCTGGGAAACCTTTGTTGCACTCCTCCATCACCAGAACATCCTTCCTCAGATAAGGAGACCAAAACTGTACCAAATCGTATCAAATTTCTGTCTCTTGACTTTGATTGGAAGAATGCCCTACAAAACTGAACATGAAAAGACATCCACAAAGGAGTGAAATAAATTGAGCAAGTTATGAGCCGATGATGGGCAAGTGCAATATATAATAAGAGCAGGAGGCTGAATTTTAAGAATTAGCAGCAGTAGCAGACCATTCAGTTTCTCAAGCGGAACCAGCACTCGATAATCTTATGGGTGAGAGAAATGACCAAAATGTACAAAACCCAGGGAATATGACAGCATGTTAAACAGAAGAACATAAGAGTCTTGAGAATTTGATGAGAAATAGAGGAAAGCAAAGAGCTTTGTATTAGATTTGGATTTTGTTGTCATGTGTATTGGAGTACAGTGAAAAGTGCCTAATGTTGCCAAACAAGGTGCCATCTTAATTACATGGGTACCTAGGTACAAAAAGCTCAGGTACAAAGTCATAAAAATAAACAAAGTTAAAGGTTCATAGACTAAGAAAAATAAAGAACTAAAGGTAATAGTTAACATTAAAGTTCTTAATATAAACTATAAAAATAAGGGAATACGTTACAAGTTCAACAGTCTTTGATGAGTCCTCCGCTTAGCTCGCTGTCTGGGAGATCTTAGCTGCCTGTTTTTGACACCGCTGCAGATGTTGGGGAACCTCCCTCACTTCGCATCCTTCCCACGCGGGGCCGCAATGTCATTGCTGCTGCTGCCTCCCCGATCTCTCAGAACATGGCCGGGTGGGTCACCCCCACATGCCAAGATACCACCATGGGCCACTGACAAACCGGGTCAAACCAGCTTACTACCCTACCCATTGCTAGGCTGGCATGCCTGTTTACTTTCACAGCCATTGTCTGAGGAGATATTAATTTGTGGTTAAGTTTGGAGGCTGTTACAAAGTGAATGTTAAGGCCAAGTCATGTCAGTATTGACTCAGTGGATAAAAAGACTTTGGGGTGATTTAGCCAAAGAACAAAGAAAATTACTGTACAGGAACAGGCCCTTCAGCCCTCCAGGCCTGCACCGACATGCTGCCCATCACAACTAAAATCCCCTACCCTTCCGGGGACCGTATCCCTCTATTCTCATCCTATTCATGCATTTGTCAAGACGCCCTTTAAAAGTCACTATAGTATCTGCTTCCACTACCTGCCCCGGCAGCGAGTTCCAGGCACCCACCACCCTCTGTATGAAAAAAACTTGCCTCGTACATCACCTTTAAACCTTTCCCCCTCGCACCTTAAACCCACAGCCCCTGGTAACTGACTCTTCCACTCTGGGAAAAAGCTTCTGACTGTCCACTCTGTCCATGCCCTTCATAATCTTGTAGACCTCTATCAGGTCCCCCCTCAACCTCCATCGTTCCAGTGAGAACAACCCAAGTTTCTCAAATCTCTCCTCATAGCTAATGCCCTCCATACCAGGCAACATTCTGGTAAATCTTTTCTGTACCCTCTCCAAAGCCACCACATCCTTCTGGTAGTGTGGCAACCAGAATTGAACACAATATTCCAAATGCAGCCTAACTAAGATTCTATAAAGCTGCAACATTACCTGCCAATTTTTAAACAGTGCCCCAACCGATGAAGGCAAGCATGCCGTATGCCTTGTTGACTACCTTCTCCACCTGCGTTGCCACTTTCAGTGAACTGTGTACCTGTACACCCAGATCCCTCTGCCTATCAGTACTCTTAAGGGTTCTGCCATTTGAATGTGAGGCAGACACAGAAGCAAGTGCGAAGTTATCCATTTCAGTAGGTAAAACAGAAAGGCAGAGGGTGATGGATCAGGAAAGGTTGTTTTACAACGGGAATGGTGTGTCCTTGTACATCAGTGTTACGACAGGGAATGGCCGAAAACTTCTGATAATTAAACTAAAACATAAGCCCCGATCTGTTGTGACAGGGGTAGGGGTTCCCCTCTAATAATTACCCCCAAAGCACCCAGAGAAGCTTACCTTTCTCTTCAATCTATTAAAAGTGTGATTAAAAGAAAGAAAATCCCTGATCTCCACTTACAAGTAACAAGAAACAATTTATTTATTTAACCCAACAATGAACAAATTAACAAAATTACTAACAAACTGACAATTCCTCCCTAGATTACTAACTACTCCTTAACTGCTCTAAATTCTACTGGAATGCTGTTTAAATAAAGACAAGTCCCACTAATATAAACCCAATTAATAAAAAGCAATAAATTATAACTTAATCTCTCCAAGTTCACACAAACTGTTTTCTGGAATATTCTGTTGTTTCCAGTCTCTTCACAAACACCTTTCTTCCGTTAATTCTGCTGTCAGGGATGTTTTATCTCTATAATTTCTTCAATGAGGACTTTGAGCTAAAATACCCCACTGTACCTTTGCTTAATTAGATGAGTTTTCTCTGAGAGCTGAATGGTGCTAATTCTGACAGGTAACAGATGGCTCTCTCTTTCAGATGGCAGTTAACTCTCCCCAATATTCCAAATGCCCTCTTCTTATATATCCGTAATGACATAATCAAATTCTTATAATATGATTGGTTTCAGGTTGTCAACACCATCAGGTTTAAATGCAATTGGCTTTCTGTTTCTAGGTGCTCCGTTTAAATTAATTGGCCGAATTCAAACTTGTTGTCACAACATCAAAACAAGACTGTTGTTTTGCCTGCCACCTGTAAGGCTTTTCTGATACACCTGTTTCACTGTTGAGGCTCTGCGTACTGGCAACTTCAGCTGCTGCTCACAGACCTACATCTTTTTAAAATTTCTAAGTACAGGCGAAGCACAAATCTCTTAAAGGAACTGAACATTTTAGCTTCCTGCCTTCCACCTCACAATTACTCTACCCAACTTCGTAACATCAGTCACCGAAAACAAGCATGCAGGTGCAGTAAGCAGTTGGGAAGCCAAATGCTTCGTTGGCTTCAACGCAGAAGGGTTTGAGTACAGGAGCAAGGAATTCCTTGCAGCCTTTATGGGCCTTACATGATGTATTGTGTGTGGTTTTGATCCCCTTACTTAAGAAAAAAATATTTGCCATTCAGGGAGTACAGCAAAGGTTCACCAGACTACTTCCTGGGACAACAGGTTTGTCATGTGAGGAGAGATTGGGTCGACTGGGCCAGTATTCACTGGAGTTTAGCGGAACGAGAGGGTGTCCTCATTGTATACAATTCTGATAAGACTGGACAGACCACAAGATGTAGGAACAGACGTGGGCCATTGAGCCTGCCTCACACTTAATCAGCCAGTCTGTCCACCCCTCTGCAGTAAATATTCACTACCCTCTGATAAAGGAATTTCCATCTCTGTCGGATCATGCTGTGGTCATAGACTCACCCATAAGTGAAACCAGCCTTTCCACATCTACCCTGTCCAGTCACCTAAGAATGTTGTTTCAGTAAAGTGACTGCATTCTTTTAAACTGCAGTGAAACAAAATTGTTCAGTACTACAGCTGCAGCCTAACTAGTGCCTAGCAAAGCCTGTTTTTATATTTTATTCCTTCTAAAATCAAGGCAAACATACAAATTGTTTTCCTTATAATGCAGAAACAATTTTTTTGAGATTTATACAGGTCTCCCAAATTCCTGTTCCGTAGCTTTCTGCAGTCTTTACATTCAAACAGGAATAGACCATTTGGCCCCTTAAGTCTGTTCTACCATTTAACGAGATCATGGTTGATCTGTGCCCTAGCTCCTTGTACCTGCCTTTGGCCCATATCCCTTAATACTGTCCCTTTGCTTAACAAAAATTTATCTGTTTCAGATTTTAAACTAACAACTGATCTAGCATCCATGGCTATTTTTGGAAGAGAATTCCAGACATCTACCTTTGTGTGTAGAAATCCTTCCTAACATCTCTCCTGATTGATCTAGCCCTAATTCTCAGATATTGCCCCCTAGTTCTCGAACTCCCAACCAATGGAAATAGCTTCTCTTTATCTTTTCCGGTTCATATCTTGACGACTTCGATCAGATCACCCCTTAACCTTCTAAATTCCATCTCTGTTTAAATAATATTCAGCTGCTCGTTCCTCTGTCAAAGTGCATGATGTCACATTTTCCCCACATTATATTCCAGTTGCCAAATTTTTATCCACTCACTTGATCAGTCTATAGCCCTTTGCAGACTATCGCCTTTTTAATAGACTCAACACTTTCCAATTAAGTGAACAGGTCTATAGTTACCTGTTTGTTATGTCTCTTCCCCTTTTTCAAAAAGGGTGTTAACATCAGCAGACGTTTAATTCGCTAGGAATTTTCCAGAATCCAAGGATTCCTGAATTATTACCATTGATTCCACTATCTCTGCAGATAATTCTTTTAATATCCTAGAATGAATTCTATCAGGTACAGGAGATTTCTTCAACCCTGTTCATTTCCCTAGCAATTTTTTTTCTCTATTAATAGTTATTGTATATTTTTCCTGTCCTATTGCCTCTAGAATATTTTGCAATTTTTGGGATTCTTTTAGTGTTGTCTACCATGAAGACCGATGCAAAGTTTTTATTCAAGTCCTCTATCAGTTTCAGGTCCTCTATTGTTATTTTTAACCAGCCAAATTCTCAAATGGGCCCTTGTTAACTTTGGTTTCTCTCTTCCTTTAGATATAATTCTAAAAATTCACTCGTGGAACATGGGTGTTTTACTGATTTCACATCGCAAATATACTTAAAGTAGCTCTTACTGTTAGTTTACTTTCAAAGTTTATTTTCTCCCTTTTTTTGGTCATCATTTATTTTATCCTTAACTTCCTCAGTTTATCCCCTTCTTAGAATCTTTCTTTCTCACTGGGATATACCTTTGTTGTGAGTTACAAACTATTTTCTTAAATGTCTATAATTGTTCAATTATCTTTTTCGCTAAACTCCTTTTCCAGTCTGCTCCAGCCAATTCTACCCCCATTCTTTCATAATTATTCTTATTTAAGTTTAGCATAGTTGTTTTTGACCAAGTTTTTCCCTTGCTCAAATTAAATGCTAAATTCTACCATGTTATGGTCACTGTTTTCTAGCAGAACTCATACTAATTTATTAAATCTGCCTCATTACACATCAAAAGATCGAAATTAGCCTGATTCATGATTGGAATCACAGAAAACTGTCCCAAATACACTCTGAATTTGAATGGCTTTCTTTACCAAGCTGCCTTGGTTAGTTCACTCATCCTCCCTGTAGCCCCACTCTGATCCACACAGAGAATCTCATAACTGTTGGAAAATTACAGGGGTCCAGGCTCCCTTAGGTACCCATACTCTACTGCAGCTGTTGTCACACAAGACCATCTGTGATCCAGACTAAATTTGAATTACCTAGTTTGAGGGGTGTAACCACCTCCTGCAATAAAGTTTCCCGGTAACTTCCCCTTCCTGTTGTGCTGCAATGTCTACAGCTCAGACTCCAGCTCCTCAACTCAGATCCAAAAATCCTTGGGATGCAAACACTAACTACAGATATGTTCACTCTGGATCACCGAGTCCAGCAGCTTTCACATACTGTAGCAACATATCACCCATTCTGCCATCGCTATTGTATTTGAATTAATTTATAATTACTCTGGATTGCTTGCTCTTTATGGTTTACCGTAATTTTTTTAATATAAAAGTTGCTAGTTTCTTAAATACCTAACTAGTTATTTAAAAACAAAGAAAACACCGAAGACCTAAAAACAAACTGAAGATCTTACTTTTACTTCAAAGAATAGAAACATATAATGTCCAACACAAGTGCTAGAATGTGACACTAGTGTAGATTTAGTGTAGTTTTTTTGTCAATGCAGACTCAGCAGTCAAAGGACATCTTCTGTACTGTATGAGTCTATGAAATATTCACCAATCCTACTCACAAACAGTTTCATTTCCAGCACTCATGTCACACTGTGGTTTGTGAGTCTCTCTGCCCTTGGTCTCATTGCAGGTCAGTCTCTTGATCCGTGACTATTATCCTCACCCACTCTAGAGATTTTACATCCTGCGGTAAACCATGAAGCATGTCTGTCCCCCTTTTCATCGAATTCCCACATTGAACCAAATTCCTAGTTTCACTCAAAGTCTCCTTCAAACTAAACATGCTCTTTTAATGTCTGTTTTAATGAAATGACCCTCATCCTTTAAAATTCCAGGAAATACAACCCTAACCTGCATAATATCTCCTTGTAACTTAACCCTTAGTGTTCAGGTATCATTCTGGTAAAATAATGCCACGTCATTAGAAGTAAATATCACCACCCTGTGGAGTGGTGCCTTGAAGTGCTCAGGGGGTGACTGTGGGTACAGTCTAACATGGGGCTTTGTAAAACTGGGCACAAGTTCTGCATCTACAGAACTGGAAGACAACAGGATAAGATGTGTATTTCATTACTTCTTATTTTTACGAGCTCCTGGATTGCCTCAAGAACAATTAAAGATGAGGTGATAATTTCTAGCCTTGTCAGTACTACATAGAAACATAGAAAACAGGTGCAGGAGAAGGCCATTTAGCACTTTGAGCCTGCACCACCATTCAATCTGATCATGCAATCTCAGTAACCCATTCCCACTTTCTCTCCATGCCTCTTAGCTGCAAGGGCCATGTCCAGCTCCCTTTCAAATATATCTAATGAACTAGCCCCAAAAGCTTCCTGTGGGAGAGAATTCCACAGGTTCACAACTCTCTCAGCGAAGGAATTCTTCCTCATCTCAGTCCTGAATAGCTTACCCCTTATCCTTAGACTGTGACCCATAGTTCTGGACATACCCAACATTAGGGACCTTATTCTCACATCTAGCCTGTCCAGTCCCATCAGGATTTTAGATGTTTCTACGAGATCCCCCTCATGCTTCTAAATTCCAGTGAGTATAAGCCCAGTCGATCTAGTCTTTCCTCATATGTCAGTCCTGCCATCCTGGGAATCAGTCTGGTGAACCTTTGAACATAAAACAGCCCACGATGTTGTGCTGACCTATTATCCTACTAAGATCAATCTACCCCACATTTTACTATCCTCCATCTGCCTATCCAAGAGTCGCTTAAAAGTCTGTAAAGTACCTGACTCCACTATTACTGGTGGCAGCGTATTCCACACAAAGAACCTACCTCTGACATTTCCCCTATACCTTCCTCCAATCACCTTAAAATTATGTCCCTTCGTAATAGTCATTTCCGCCCTGGGAGAAAATCTCTGACTATCCATTCCATCTATGCCTCGCATCTTTGCTGGCTCCCTCAATAACAAGAATGTCCTTCCTCAGACTAGGAGGCCAAAACTGCGCACAGTACTCAAGGTATGGCCTCACCAAAGGCCCTGTATAACCGCAGCAAGACATCCTTACTCCGATACTCAAATCCTCTCCCAATGAAGGCCAGTATGCCATTAGCTTTCCTCACTGCCTTCTGCACCTACATGCCAACCTTCACCGACTGTTCCACCATAACACCCAGGTCTCATTGCACCTCACCTTTTCCTAAACTTCTACCATTCAGATCATAATCTGCCTTCCTGTTTTTGCGACCAAAATGGATAACCTCACATTATATTTTGTTTACCAAGTGCAGAACTGATCAAATTCAAGAAGAACACTAAAAAACTCCCTCTATCTTTACAAAGTTACTGCAGTGCATGTAGGCCCCTGCTCCTATTCATCAGTAACAGGGCTAAGAATTGTAAACTTGTAAATTGTAAACTTTTAATCAATTTATAGCTTTCCTTAACTCGCACTCAGAGGATGAGTGCATCTGACCACTGCCCTGCCACTCTTGAGCAGTTGTTCAGGATTATTATTTTGGTTATTAAAACAAAAAGACAAAGCCTCAGTTGTAACTTTTAATAATAAAGTACAAAATTGTTCAGCCATTTGATGGTCAGAAGGCTAATAGCCACAGAGCCTGCCCATAGAGTTTATCCCCACACGCTCCGAAGATGGCTCTCTCTTTCAAGATGGTTATTTTTCAGGAGAGGTTGGATCAGTCCTCATCCAGTACCACGTCTACTCGAACTGTGTCACAGTAGAATTTCCCAGCGTTGTCCGAGCCTCCAAACACCAGAAGTGTGTGACAGGACCCTGTGCTACTGTGACATGAGTTCAGATACAGCAGACTGTGACCTGTTCGTGGCACAGAGCAGAGTGTGGGATGAGACAGACTGCTCCAACTGTAGGTCTCTGGTGAGGAAGAATATGGGAGGTAGAAGAAAGAATAAGGATTAGACTCAGCATGTCAGGCTTAGGGTCACACCTGATGCTCAAACTGTCATGAGATAGATCTCCATTTTAGCAGTCTAATTGGACCGTGCTCGTTTCTCAATCTCAGAGACACCAACTCAGAGTTGAAACAGGTGCAGCGTTTACTCTGGATCTTTCTGTCTGCAAAAAGGGCCCAACGCACTTATGTATGGAGCACCCAGAACATAGCTAGTGAGCCTGACTGATGAAACTAAATTAGTTATCAGTGTAATTATTCACATCCTCAGGATCATCCAACAAATATTGTCCAGTTGCAGACTTACATGCAGTGTTAGACACTGTGGGGAGGCTGTTTCAGTTATGGTCAGTACCTCATTTTTTATGAGCAGCCGCAGGGACATGCTGTTTGACACAATCTGCCAGCCTTCAGGATGTATGGCCAACGTATCTAGCATCACGCCGGCACTAAAATGATTCTTTTTGGCTTGACAGCAACATCCACTCGTAGTAAACACTATTCATATTGCTGCTGGTTACCAGCAGCATGAATCTACGAGTTTCACCTATTGCTCAGGCTTTCAAGATACCTTATCCTTCTGAGGGAGACAAGGCACTTTTCAGGAGCAAGAGTGACATCCTTAGGGCCTTTCTGAGTTTACATGCTGTACAGTGAGAAACAATCTGATGAGGGTCACTGTTATTGCACAGGATGGCTTTGACATGCCCTATTTCAGCATGTTGGGCCATTTGTTCACATGCAATCTGTTCGTACATGACAATGTAGAAATCCCAGTATGGGGAGGGAGAGAGAGAGAGCACAAGAGCGAGAGCGCGCAAATCCACAGCTTTGCAGACAGAAGCTACATCCATGACCTTACCTATATTGAAGATGAACAAATCCTGCAGGGCTCCACTCAGATTATGCCCACCACTGATCAGCACTTTGTTATCACACAGAGGAATGGCGGCATGGCAGCTAGAAGAAAGAATTCCTTTGTCACCACATCTTTCACAACAAACACTCCCAAGGTAGAGACAGTACAGAACAAAAACAGAGTTGCTGGAAAAGCTCAGCAAGTCTGGCAGCATCTGTGAAGAAAAAAATCAGAGTTAATGTTTCGGGTCAAGGTTGCGTTGGGTGTTTGGAAAAGCATTAATGTGGACAAGTGCCCAGGACCTGATGAGCTCTATCCCAGAATGCTGAGAAAGGCAGGTGAAGACGTTGCTGGGAGATAGTAAGAACTGCAGATGCTGGAGACAGAGTTGATACAGTGTGGAGCTGGAGGAACACGGCAGGTCAGGCAGCATCAGGGGAGCAGGAAAGTCGACGTTTCAGGCCTAGACCCTTCATCAGGACTGGAGATGGGGATGGATGCTGGGAAATAAACAGATGGAGAAGGGGTGGGGTTAGGGTTGGGGGTAGGTAGGTGGGACAGCAATAGGTGGATGCAGGTAGGGACAGTGGGGATTGGTCAGTGGGAAGGATGGGGTGGATAGGTGGGGTAAGAGATGAACAGGTAGCGTCAGGTCAAGGAGACGGGGGCCTTATTTGAAATCTTTGTATCCTCTTCAGTTACACGAGAGGATCCAGAGGACTGGAGAATAGCCAATATTGTTCCTTTTTTTTTTTTTTTTTTTAAGGGCAACAGGGATAATCTGGGAAATTACAGGCTGGTGAGCCTTATGTCAGTGGGGTTGGGAAATTATTGGAGACGATTCTTAGGGATAGGATTTACTCACGTTTGGAAAAATATGGACTTTTTAGTGATATGCAGCATGGCTTTGAGTGGGGATGGTTGTGTGTCATCAACATGATGGAATTTATTTTGAGTAAGTGACAAAGATGATTAGTGAGGGTAGGCAAGTAGATGTCGAGTACATGGACTTTACCAAGGCCTTTGACAAGGTCCATCATGGCAGACTGATGCAGAAGGTGAAGTCACATGGGCTCTGCAGTCAGCTGGTAAAATGGATACAGAACTGCTTTTGTCATAGAAGATAATCATGGTGGAAGGGTCTCAGACAAGATCTGTGACCAGTGGTGATCCACAGGGATCAGTGCTACGGCCCCTGTTGTTTGTAACACAAGTGATTTGGAAAAGATTGGAGGTGGTCTGATTAGTAAGTTTGCAGATGATACGAAGAAATGGGGAGCTATGGATAGTGAGGAGGATTGCCAGAGGATACAGCAGGATATAGATAGATTGGAAGCTTAGACAGAGAAATGGCAGGTAGAGTTTAATCTGGACAATTGCGAAGTGGTGTGTTTTGGAAGATCTATACAGCGAATGGCAAAAACCTTAGAAGCAGCAACATACACAGGGATCTAGGTGTACAGGTCCACAGTTCCCTGAAAGTGGCATCACAAGTGGATAAGGTGATCAATAAGGCATATGGCATGCTTGCCCTCATTGGTTGGAGCATACAGCATAAAAATTGGCAAGTCACGTTGCAGCTATATAGAACTTTAGTTAGGCCACATTTGGAATATTGTGTGCAGTTCTGGTCATCGCATTACCAGAAGGATGGAGGCTTTGGAGAGGGTATAGAAACAGTTTGCCAGGATGTTGCCAGGTTTGGAGGGTATTAGCTATTAGGATAGATTGGACAAACTTGGTTTGTTTTCACTTGAGCGTCAAAGGGTGAGGAGTTTAAGGTTAAAGGGAATACAATGAAAGGAGATGTGAGGGGTAATATTTTTTAAAAACACACAGAGTGGTAATTGCCTGGAATGTGGAACAAAAGCAAAGTTGCTGGAAAAGCTCAGCAGGTCTGGCAGCATCTGTGAAGGAAAAATCAGTTAACGTTTCGGGTCCAGTGACCTTTCCTCAGAACTGATGGTGGCTGGGAAACATAAGTTTATATACAGAAAATAGGAAGGTGGCTGGGGTAGGGAGTAAATGATAGGATAGAGCCCAAAGAGAGAGAAAGAGAGTTGGACAGACAAAGGAGTTGCTAACGATCAGGCTGGGAGGGTGAATAGTTGTTAATGGGGACTGTTAGTGACTAACAACAGGGGGTGTGTAGTGGCAGGCTACGTGGTAACAAGGCCTGGTGTGTGGGGTGGGGGGCAGGGACATGGGAGAGTTTAAGCCCTAAAATTATTGAACTCAAATGTTGAGTCCGGAGGGCTGTAGGGTCCCCAAGGTTGGGCCTAAACTCTCCCATGTCCCAGCCCCCTACCCCATACACCAGGCCTTGTTACCTCATACCACCTCCCTATTTTCTGCATATAAACTGACGTTTTCCCAGCCACTATCAGTTCTGAGGAAGGGTCACCGGACCTGAAACGTTAACTCCGTTTTTTCCTTCACAGATGCTGCCAGACCTGCTGAGCTTTTGCAGCAACTTTGTTTTTGTTCCTGATTTACAGCATCTGCAGTTCTTTCGGTTTTTATCTGCCTGGAATGTGGATGCAGGTGGTGGAGGCAGATACAGTAGTAACATTTAAGAGCTGTCTTGACAGATATATGAATAAGCAGGGAATGCAGGGATACGGACTGCAAAGAGGCAAAAGGTTTTTGGTTCAGAAAGGCATCATGTGTTGGCGCAGTCTTGGCTAGCCGAAGGACCTATTCCTGTGCTGGACTGTTCTTTGTAAAACTTGTGACACTGTTCCCATCAATCATTCCAGGACAGGGACAGCACAAGGTTATATCCAGAGTAAAGCTTCCTTTACACTGTCCCCAAAAACTCCGAGCACAGATTAGGGAGAATCAAACCATATTATTCAACTGCATTATTATGCCCATGTCCAGATTTTGAGAAACACACCCAAAGATAACGCTGGCGCTGTTTGCCTTGTTAATCTGCACTGGCAATCCTGTATATTCCATCAGCGAGACAGTCACATTTAAAGACCAGTGGTTCACAGTGTTCAGACTCTACAGCCGTGCACTTCTCCCATTGCCCTCCTGAAGTGTCCATGTCGATGTTCTTCATTGGTACCTACCAGCGTGGAGGAGGAGGGGCTCGACCCTGGATGTTAATGTACTCCATGAAGCCTGGAAGAAAAGGGCAATGTCAGTTAAAAATACAATTGACCTGTAGAGGATCCTTCAACCAAAAATACAAACTGTCCCCACTTCCAGCACTCCCTGCACCAAACCATGATAACACCAGGAAGGGTCCCGACCCGAAACGTCAGCTTTTCTGCTCCTCTGATGCTGCGTTCATCCAGCCCCACACTGTGTCACTCAGATGGCTGGTTTATGTCTAATGGAGATCACTTCACACAGAGCAGAGTAACTCTCCACCTCTTACTCCCAGGAAAGCTGTTGGGATTGGGAGTCCATTGAAAATTTCAAAACTGAGTTTGGAAAATTTTTTTTTTTTTTTTTTTTTTTTTTTTTAAAAATTAGGGGTCACACAAACACGTGGGGACACAGGGCTCAGATTTAGATCATTGTCAAATTGAATGATGGAACATGTTCAAGGGGCTGAATGGCCTTCACCTGTTGCAGTTTTCGAAATCAGGAATCCTGGTGACAGCACCAATAATGTGATTCCACTGAGCTATTGTTGACAATCCAACAGACCCAAAGTCACTTCTACTGAGACCAGACTTTTATTTCCAACATCTTAAAAACAAGAATGCAGATTTTCAAACTCTGTGGTTACGTATAAACACCTAATTCCTTGGGTTTATGAGAATCGGTGCACTCCTGCACTCGGAGGTAGTCAATGTTTCTATAGTACGTACACACCACGCACACACTGGCAAAGTGTAGAGTGTCTAAAACATGTTCTCAAAATTTAGTGTAAATGGCTCAAACACCTTCCCCAGAGGATCCCCATGGTTTACTGTGACATTGGATGCACAGATTCAGGTTGATCAACCTCATTGAGTTACCACATGCAACAACATCACTCCCTTCATTAGCTCATCACACAATTTTGCATCTTTTCAAAGTGTGAAAAGTTCTTAACTCCTCTTCCTATCCTCGAACATCCTCGTTTTTGCATTTTGTAGCCCCTTTTGGGGGACTCAAAGCTATTAGAGGGACCAGTCCCTGGGGGTGAGTTTCTGATAGCTCCTCCCAACCCGTTCTTAAGCCTGAAACCCAAAGTCTCCTCACCAAGATCTAACACATGAAGGTCGTTCAGGAACACTCTGCTCCGACTGCCACCAAACAGGACCAGTTTATCTGCCAGGAGAGTGCCAGAGTGACTGCAGAGAGAAACAAAAGGGAGAAACAGCTAAACCGGATCACGCCTCCACCAGTCGGAACCGCCGTTCCCTCTGCCACGATGCAGAATTCCGAGAGAGTAGGATTTCCATCACAATACACCCTTGCCCCATCAGACACCAAACATGTATACAGACTCCTGTCTAACTGACCTGCCCACCAGGTAATGGTATCAGCCCTGACTCAGAGGGAGCACTGTCATCAGAATCAGAATGTTGTGGGTTCAAGTCCCAACCCAGAGACCTGAAGCCATGCATGCAGCTGTATAGGGTCCTAGTGAGGCCACAACTGGAGTACTGTGTGCAGTTTTGGTCTCCTTACTTGAGAAGAGATATACTAGCACTGGAGGGGGTGCAGAGGAGATTCACTCGGTTGATTCCAGAGTTGAGGGGGTTGGATTAGGAGGACAGACTGAGTAGACTGGGCTTATACTCATTGGAATTCAGAAGAATGAGGGGAGATCTTATAGAAGTATATAAGATTATGAAGGGAATAGATAAGGTGGAGGCAGAGTGGTTGTTTCCACTAGCAGGTGAAACTAGGACTAGAGGGCATCGCCTCAAAATAAAGGAGAGCAGATGTAGGACTGAGGTCAGGAGGAACTCCTTCACCCAAAGGGTTGTGAATCTGTGGAATTCCCTGCCCAGTGAAGCGGTTGAAGCTACCTCGCTGAATGTTTTTAAGGCAAGGCTAGATAAATTTTTGAACAGTAAAGGAATTAAGGGTTATAGTGAGTGGGCGGGTAAGTGGAGCTGAGTCTCCCAAGGTACCGCCTTTCATATCAGACCTGACACCAACGGCCCACCGTCCATCTCAGGAGGGCATAGAGAATGTCACAGGCTCTATTCAAACAGCAGGGGAGATCCCTTTGGAGTCCTCAGGCAAACCTCAACCAACACCTGCTTGTGTGCAAATGGGTTCTAAGGCAAAAGAGCATGTGAACGGAGCCGAGATGACCAGTAACTCACCACCTGACTCCCCAAAGCCTGTCCACCATCTGTAAGGCACAGGTCAGGAAATATATTACCGTAACTTCACTGTCACTGGTCTAAAATCCCAGAATTCCCTCCCTAAGGGCATTGGTGGGTCACCCTACAGCACATGGACTGCAACGGTTCAAGAAGGCAGCTCACCCCCAACTTCTCAAGGGGCAACTAGGGACAGGCGATGACGACTGGGCCAGCAACACTTGTCCCACGAGTGAATAAAACAAAAGCAGACCAAATACTCTGGAACTTAAAAAAATCAAGATTATAAGGAAATCAGATTGCTGTTAGAAACCCATTTGGTTGGCTCTGTCCTTTAGGGAAGGAGCCTGGTACCCAGATACAGATCTGACTCTAGTCTCCTTGCCAGTATGGTTAATCTAAGCATCCTCTGGTTCAAACAGCAAGACCAGCCCCTGTGCTCAGGGCAAACTGGGGATGGGTAATAAATGCTGGCCCATCCCACATTCCAACAGCGAGGAACTAAACTGGACGGATGCGACCATTCCTGGCCCTCTGCTGTGATGGGTGTGGAGGGTAACTCACCTGTACCGAGGGAGGGGTCTTTCACCTACCACAATGGGTTGGTACCAGATCTCATGCTCAGCGTTGAAGATGTACAAGGTGTTGCTGCAGCTTTCAGTTGTCAGTGGTGCTCGGCAAAGCAGTCCACCAAATACAAAGAGTTCCTGATGGAAGACCACCGCACTGTGATAGGCCAGCGAGGGCACTTTACCCCTCCCCTGAGAGAGCACAACGACTCCATTAACCAGATACAACAAGGTCACAGCAGCTTCAAAAGCAAATCTCTAAGAGACTTTACACAAAGAAACAAAATAACATCAAGTTACACAATGAGATGGCTGGACTGGATCAAAGAGGCAGTTTAAATCACGTCTTTGAAGAGGAGAGGCGCAGCGGGACATTGAGGGAATTGCAGACGTTGGCCCTCAGGAAACTGAGGATGCCCAAGAGACTGGAATCAGAGGAAGACAGAGACCTCAGAGGGGTGTGGCCATCAAAAGCCTTGGAAAAGATGGCATCAATATAAGTCACTAACAGAGTCACACCGAGGCAGCAATTTGCTAAATTGTGGAATCCTTTATATCCACCCGAGAGCTTCTTTCTTAAAAAAAAAACAACTTCAGTCTGACAGTGGATCCTGACCAATGATAGGGAATGAAGTTAAAAAACCCTCCGGGTCTCGATAGGTAAACGTCAGCTGTGCTTCAGTGGATGTAGCACATTTACCCGAGGGTGGCGGGCAGGTCAGCACCGAGGGAACATCACTTCCACATCTCCAGACCATGACCTCACAGGTTCCAGTGAAGAGCCAGGTTCCCTCATCCACCAAACCAGGCACCACGCTAGGGGCAGAACAGTATATTCTCACATCCCTTCAATTACTCCATCAATGACCTTAAATCTCTGGGCCCTGGTAACTAAGCTCTTCACTAAGGGAAAACAAATCTTTCCCACACACTCTGTACGGGCCCCTCATCACCTTTTACACCTCAACTGGTACCAGATCTCATGCTCAGCGTTGAAGATGTACAAGGTGTTGCTGCAGCTTTCAGTTGTCAGTGGTGCTCGGCAAAGCAGCCCACCGAATACAAAGAGTTCCTGATGGAAGACCACCTCAATGGGTGATCATCATCCAAACAGTTTCCTTTCCCCCCCATTTTCAATTCACTTCACACAAGGGAGCGAGAAGTCCTCAAAGAAAATGATAAATGTACAATCTCCTTTAACAATCTCCTGATAAATATCAGGTGATGATCAGGAAAAAGGAACAAGACAAGGGAGTGCTCAATGAATGGCAGGACACTGGGAAGCTCAGAGGAGCAGAGGGATCTTGCCCACAGATTCCTGAAGGTGGAAGAACAGGTTAATAGGGTAGTTATGAAGGCATACAGGATGCTTGTTTTTATCAGTCAAAACACTGATTGTAAAAGCAGAGAGGTTATGTTGGAGCTGCACAGAGCTTGGGTTAGGCCTCAGCTGGAGTACTATGTACAGTTCTGGTCACCACATTATAGGATGTGATTGCGATACAATGGTGCAGAGATTCACCAGGAAACTGCCTGGGATGGACCATTTCAGCAATGAAGAGAGTCAGGATAAGCTCAGGTTGTTTTCCTTAGAGCAAAGAAAGCTGAGGGGGTTACCTGATTGAGGGATATAGGATTATGATGGTAATGGACAGATAGATACAGACGCAGACACAGACGGCAGAGATGGAAATTAAAGAGCATTGAATAATTGAAAGCGGGCAGAACTGTCAGAGAGAAAGCTCAATGTGGGGAAGTGTGTTTGTGTTGGGTTCAGGGGGAGCCATCTCCTTTGGGCATCAAACAAATGTTTCTACTTACAATTATGGAGGACCACTTCCAGGTCAAAGTGTCCAGAATGTAGACAGTATTGAAGCATTTCTCATCTTTCACCCCTCCAAAAATGTAGATGCGTTTGGTGTCGGGATCATAGGTGGCAGAGTGACCACAGACTCTCCGAGGGACTGGGATGCTTTTTGTTGGGGTCATTTCCAGGGGAAACCAGAAATTCTCACCATTGTCTGCTCAAAGTTCAAACAGAGAACACATTAACATAGAAGAAAAATTAAAAGAAACAAAAAAATTACATATTTCCTATAAGGCCATAACACGAAGTGGAAACAGGCCATTCAGCCCATCGAATCTGCTCTGCCATTCAATGAGGTCACAGCTGATCTGATAATCCTCAACTCCACTTTCGTGCTTTTTCCCAATAATGCTCAACTCCCTTCCTGATTAAAAATCTGTCCATCTCAGCTTTGAATATACTTAATGAGCCAGCCTTGACACCCTCTGGTTTGAAAAAAGATCAGATTCCCTTCCTTCTGAGAGAGGAAATTCCTCCTCATTTCGGTCTTTGCGAAGATGATACCCTCTGGTCCTAGACTCTCCCACAAGTGGAAACAACCTCTCAACATCTACCCTGTCAAGCCTCCTAAGAATTTTGTATGTTTTAAAAAGGTCTCCTCTCATTCTTCTAAACTCCAACGAGTACAGGCCCAACCTACTCTCTTCATAGGACAGTCCCTCCACATGTGGAATCAGCTGAGTGAACATTCTCTCAACTGCAGTTTTGAGGAAGAATCACCGGATCCGAAACATTAACTCTGGTTTTTCTCTTCACAGATGCTGCCAGACCTGCTGAGCTTTTCCAGCAATTTCTGTTTTTCTTCTCTGGATGGCCTCTGGTCAAAAACTGTTCAGTTTTCTAGGTGTGTTCTGACTAGTACCTTGTATAGTTTTAGTGAAGCCTTCTTTCTTCAAAAAAAACTTCATTCCCTCTGAAATAAAGGCCAGCAATCCATTTGTCCTCCTTATTCCCCACCAAACTTGGATGCTAGCTTTTGTTGATTCATGAATGAAGATTTCCAAAACCCTCTGTTCTGTAGCTTTTTGCAGTCTTCCTCTCACCCACTTTAAATGTCATCTTTGCGATATTACATTCACTTTCCTCATCCAAGTCAATAACATATCAAAAGTTACGGCCCCAGCACTGATTCCTGTAGCATTCCATTAGTTACAGGCAGCCATACTGAAAATGTTCCTTTATCCTAACTCTGTGATCTACAAGTTAGCTAATCCTCTATCCATACTAATATATAACCTGTAACACCATGGGCTCTTATCAGTAGCCTAATCTGTGGCACCCTAATCTGTAGCATTTTATCAAATGTCTTCTGAAAATTCAACGCCTTTCTCTGTAACCACAAGAGGTGCTACACCTGCCCCTACACTTCTCCCTCTCACCTCCGTCCAAGGTCCCAAACAATCCTTCCAGATCCAGCAGAGATTCACCTGCATCTTATCCAACCTGATCTACCGTATCTGTTGCTCCCGATGTGGTCTCCTCTAGATCGGGGAGACCAAACGCAGACTCGGGGACCGGTTCACAGAGCATCTGTGCTCTACACGCACCAACCAACCCAACCTTCCAGATGCCATCTGCTTTAACTCCCCCTCCCACTCCCCTGGTGACATGTCCATCCTTGGCCTCCTGCATTCCACCATTCTATTGCTGGAGAGGGTAGTGAAGTCGGCCTCATTTAAGTGGCTATTAGATAGGCATATGGATGATAGTATGAGGTAGGGGTGGAGGTTAGATAGACCTTAGGATTAGGGTAAAAGTTTGGCACAACATCGTGGGCCGAAGGGCCTGTACTGTATTGTTCTTTGTTCTATGCACTGTCAGAGAGTGAGGCCAAACAAACTGGAGGAACAATACCTGATATTTCACCTTGGGAGCTTACAGCCCAATGGCCTGGATATTGAATTCACCAGCTTCAAAATCTGTCCTCCCCCAACCTATCCATCTTCCCACTCACCTATCCGCTCCACCCTTCCCACTGACCAATCACTATAACCCCCCGCATCCACCTTTCACCATCCCACCTACTTGTCCCCATCCCCACATCCCTCCCTCTATTTACTTGTGGGCTCCCCTTCCCCCTCCCCAGTCCTAATGAAGGGTTTCGGCCCAAAAGGTTGACTTTCCTGTTCCTCTAACGTTCATTGACACTATTATATCCACTGCTTCCCCACTTTCTATCCTGCTCGTTACCTCCTCAAAGAATCCCAGTAAATGTGTCAGGTATGATACCCGCTTCATGAAGCCACGCTAACTCTGCTTGATCATATTATACTCTGCTACTACATCCTTGATAGCCGACTCTTAACATTTTCTCAATAATAGGTGTTAAGCTAACTGGCCTATAGTTACCTGATTTATTTTTGTCTTCCTCCCAGTTTAAATAAAGGTGTTACACTGGCAGTTTTCCAATCCTCTGGGACTTTTCCAGAACCTAAGGATTTCTGGAAGATTACTCCCAGTGCATCCATTATCTCTGTAACTGCTTCGTTTCATACCATAGGATGCATCCCGACAGGTCTGCAAGACTTCACTAGGAGCGAGGGGGGACCTGGTGGGCCTGAGATTTGCTTTAGGGTCATTTGAAGTCCAGCGAAGAACCCAGCAACCAATGGTGGTGGTGGGAGGTCAGGAAGAATGGTGAAGGATTACTTGTGGTTAGAATCTGTGAACTGTCACCATATAACTTATAACTAAAACTCCCTCTACACAAACGTCCCGAAACAAAATAAAACATTGATGTTATGAAGGAAGGGATAAAACGTACTTGGGAAACAGTCCATAGAGACCAGTCCTCAGGATTCAGTGGGATGTGCCTTTTGTTTCCCCAAGTCCTTCAGTTCTCTCATCTTTTCCCTCAGGTTCTTTTGGTTCTTCACGGGAGGCACAGAGTGACTGGGTCACAAATGATAAAGTCTCTGACTTATTGGGTAAAAGCCACAGCTTACAGCAACTGGTGGGAGAAAACACTCTCTACAGAAGCTGTACAGTCAAAGGGACTTCTCACTGTATCGTACATACCCACAAGCTGTTCAGTTAACCAGGAACCAGAGAGTCGTCCTAAGGCTGGTAACCTTGACCTTTGGAATCCAAGGCTGATCACAAGTGCACAGTCTAATAGCTATTTGTTGCCAGCCGAATGTTGCTTTGTACACGTGACCTGGTGCTGTGCTGTCTCTTTACACCACCCCCACCAACTGTTTGCAAAACAGCATAACTTACAATGAGTCTCAGTGACTTGCTTTTTAAAAATACAGCAATTGTTTCCTCAGTCCTTTGTTGTAAAATAATCCTTTACCCAGTTCAGCCCACAAAAGGAAAATTAAAAGTTTTTTTTTATTGCGATACAAGCCCATTTGGTTTGTTATTACAGTCGTTATCTGGTCTGACCTCCGTGTGACTTCAGACCCACAGCAAGGTGGTTGATTCTAAACTGCCCTCTGAAAAGGCCAAGCTAGTTACTCAGTTCATGGGCAATAAATGCTGGTCTATCCAGCAACACCTCATCCCACGAAAGAAGAATGTAAAAGGCTCAATAGCATTTTGGGGGCAAGAGTGCCCTTGTGTTAATTTGAATTGAATCTGAAGATTCTGTTCTCTTGTTGTGGACTGCCCTAACAGGTAAAATAGTTTATCTCCATCAACCCTATTAAAACTTGTCATTTTAAACTGTTCAATTGGATCACTTCAATCAATTTCATTCTGATACTGAACAACACACAGACAGTCTTGGAGACCGTTCTCAGTTGGAAGCCTGTATCACTGGAAGCATTCTGGTGAACCTGCTCAACCATCAACACCTCCTTCCTGATGTGTAGTGCCCAGAACTGATTGCAGTTTCTCCAGATTCCCAATGTCACTCACCGAGCTCTAGCCTCCACGGACCATCTTTACAGTAGCTCTTCGGTCCCCTCTCTCCTCCGATCAGAATCGCCGTGTCTGGGTCACTCAGGCACAGAGTGTGATTCCAGCGTGGACTTGGACAAGCTGCAAACCAGCAAGAGGGGCTGTCATCGGATAATTAACTGAAGGGGAAGTGTTTGCAGGATTACAGGGAAAAGGCAGAAAGGTAGCTCTCTGAGTTGCTCTTTCAAATGGGCCAACACCAACATGACGGGCCAAGTGGTTTCCTTCTGTGATTTTACCAATGCAAACAGTGACTCACTATCAGACAATGTTTGAGTGTCACATGTTTTCTGTCTTTTGCCAAGGGGATTGGGACTAACATTACTGCAGGGTGTCCATTCAGACGGCACAGACCCAGACCCTGTGTATGGAGAGAGAGTGAATTATGGGGACCATCAGATTGTCACAACACAACCATGTGCGTACTTTATTCAAAGCACAACCCTAAACGCTTCCCATTAGGTTGTGAGCAAGTCCATGGGTAGCAGGAAACTGCCCTGCACCCCCCACCCGCCCCTAGACCACGGTTAAAGGAAACTTGCTTGGATTTAGTCTGAAACTTGTAATCAGGACTCACTCACCCTTCAGTCTCTTCACATCAGTATTACTCCCTAGGACAGAAACAGGAACAGGAACAGCAGTCAACAAAAAAGTCATCCCTACATCCCATAATATGCTAATCAAAATGGCAACATACCAAATCTTCAGCCAGCCCTCTGTGGTAGGGGGCTCAATCCAGGATATTTGAAGGATTTGGAAACTCCCAGATTACCGAATATTGAAAAGGCTGTCCTTCCCTACAACGTAGGGAACATTCCCTCAGCCCTCCGCCCAAACGGAATATTAAAACTCTCACCCAACTCAAATCAATTTCAGTTTGGAAGTTTTCAAACCAGCACCCCCACCTCTCCCAGAATCAATTTTGAGCAAGAGAGTTTCTCATTGTCACTCCCATCCGTGAAAAGGTGTTTCTCGACATCACCCCACCCCAAACAGTTTGGCACGGGTTTGTTTGTAACAATTTTTGCCCTTAACCTGGACTGGTCCCCCTTCCCACTTTCTCAAAACAAATCCACAGTCTACCAACTCCTTCGACCATCTGAAATATCTCCGTTACATGGCCTTTGGAGCAGGTGACCTTGCACGGTCACACCATCCACTCAACAGGCACAACTAGAGCTTCACAGGCAAAAACAGAAATGGCTGGAAAAGCTCAGCAGGTCTGGCAGCATCTATTGAGAAAGAGAGCACAGTTAATGTTTTGGGTCTAGGGACCCTTTTTCAGAGTGGATTGTAGCTTGGAAAAGGTTGATGTATATGTTAAAGATGAGCTGTGGGAAGGAGTAAACAATAGGTGGAGATGGAGCCCATAGAGAGAGAGAGAAAAACAGTTGAACAGACAAAGGAATGGGCGAAGGTCAGCCTGGGAGAATGAATGGGGACCATTAGTGGCTGACAATGGGTTGTGTATGTAGCAGTTCATGTGATGACAAGGCCTACTGCATGGGAGTTGGGGTAAATTCATGGAAGATGGTGCTCAGGCCCTAAAATTATTGAACTCGATATAGAGTCCTGAAGGCTGCAGGGTGCCCATGCAGAAAACGAAGTGCTGTTCTTTCAGCTTGTGCTGACCTTCGCTGCAGCACTGTAGCGAGCCTCAGATCACTTTGTGGAGTGGCGAGGTTCTGTCTATAAAAACAATGCTAACTTCCTGTTGCCTGTCACTTCAACACGCTACCATGGTCCCTGGCCAGCATCTGTCTCAGGCTTGCTGCAGTGCTCCAGCGCACCTCGTTTTCCACTTAGACACCCTGCGGCCTTCAGGACTCAATATCGAGTTCAACAATTCTACAGCCTGAGGCACCTTCTCCCATGTCCTTACCCCAACCCACCACATCCCAGGCCTTGTCATCACATGGTCTCCTAACGCAACCATTCCATTGTCGGCTACTAATGGTCTCCATCAGCAGCTATTTATTCTTCCAGGCTGACCTTTATCCATTCCTTTGTCAGCCCAACTGTTTTTTTGTTTGTTTCTGGGCTCCATTTCCACCCACCGTGCACTCATCTCCCCTCCCCACGATCCCACCTTCAGCAATATATACCAATCTTTTCCTAGTCACAATCAGTTCTGACGAAGGGTCACCAGACCCAAAACGTTAACAGATTTCTCTCCACAGATGCTGCCAAGCTTTTTTTAGCAATTTCTATTTGTTTCTGGCTATAGTTCTTTGGTCTTTTTTAAAATATTCACAGCTTCACCTAGCTCGTCGGAAGAGTCTGTGTCCTTTCCAGAAGATTCCGAATCCTTTCCAGAGGAGTCCGTGTCCCCTAACAGAGCAAGAAATGGCACCCGAGGATGGGAAGCCTCTACCTTTGGGGCCAAATTCAGGCTCCTCTCTTGCTGTATCTGGGAATAGCTGGTCTGAGGCTGCAAACAAGACCAGAATGTTAGTGTAGTACCACAGATCACCTCTTCCCTCTTCCCCATCTGAGATTTCAGTGTCTCCCGCACAGACTGATCAAAAAGGTTTGACTGGGAGCATACCCTAGGAGGGGGACATTGGAGACGGGGGAAGATTGGGGAAAATCATTAGAATAAGATGAGAGCTGTAAGAGTGAAATTAAAAGCAAGGGCTGTACAGTCTAAACTTGAGTCCCCTATAGGATAGAAGATTAAAGGATGACCAAATTGATGATGATCAAATAAGTTACAAGGATAGAGAGAATTTTTTATTTTGAGGGGGAGAGGGAGCTAAATTCCTCACACGAAGCGAGGATGGAAATTGAGAATTCCTTCTCTGGAGAAACTGAACACCATTTGGAGCTGACATCAACCAGATTACCAGAGTCTTCTTGGGCAACAGTATCAAAGGATATGGACCTCAGGTGGGAAAGTAGAGCTGAGGTATTTATTGACTGAATGGAAAACCAGTTCAAGGGGATGAATGGCCTGTTTCGGCTGTTCTGAAAGTAACATTCTATACATACCTTATTAATATTTAGACATTAATGTTTTAAATTCTGTAAACTGAAGCAGTTGGGGGTTAAATTCCACGTGAAACTTGATAAAGGGGTCAGGAATCAGTTGGATACAAGGAAGAATGGGATACAAGCTGAACAGGGAAGAATTGATTCTGAATGCATATTTGCACAGGGAAATCACATTTCCAATCCCAAATACTACTTCAGAAGCCTTTTCCAGGGACTTACGAGTGCAGAGAGACAGGGGATAAATTGGGAGACGTCATCGAGGAGATCAGACAGAGCATCATCCAGGGCTGGGCGAGTCTTCACAGGAACCACAGGAGTGCTGCTCAAGAAATCCACCCTCTTCAACTAGCAAACAAAATACACCATTTTTAAACATTCCATTCACAGAAAGTGGCTGGGCCAGCATTTGTTTCCCATCCCAAGTTACCCCTTGAGAAGGTAGTGATGAGCTGCCTTCTTGAACAGCTGCAGTCCTCCTGCTGTAGGTTGACGCACAATGCCCTTAGGGAGGGAATTCCAGGATTTTGATCCAGTGACAGTGAAGGAACGGCGATATATTCCCAAGTCAGGATGGTGAGTGACTTGGTGGCTGGGGGAGGGGGTTCTTGCAAGGGGCGGGTCGTTGGAAGGAGCTGTCTAAGGATTTTTGGTGAAATTTTGCAGTGCATCTTGTAGATGGTACACATTGCTGCGACTGAGCGTTGGTGGTGGAGGGAGGGGATGTGGTGCCAGTCGAGCAGGCTGGTTTGTCCTGGATGGTGTTGAACTTCAGATACTGCTAGATAACAATTGCTGACTTGTATTAACACAGCATTTTCCTCAAAGCTCTTTATAACTAATTAGATACTTTTCAAAATGCCAGTACTGTTCTCATCTAGGAAACTCAGTAGCCAATTTACACATAACAAGATCCCCAAACAGCACATTGATAGTGATTGTAACGTAGCTTGGTGTCTAAATACTGTCTGAGGCACTAGGATAATACCACTGTAATTCTTTGAAAAATAACATACAACCTTTAATATCCACGTGACTGCAAAGCTCAGTTAAACATCTCAAGTGAAAAATGGCATCTCCAACAGCGCAGCACCCTGTACGGGTTGAATTCTCACTATTGGTGATAGTCATAACCTGACATTTGTGTGGTGCCAATGTTACTTGCCACTTGTTAGTCCAAGCCTGTATATTGTCCAGATATTGTTGCATGTGAACATGGACTGCTTCAGTATCTGAAGAGTCATAAATGGTGCTGAACATTGTGCAATCATTGGCGAGCAGCCCTACTTCTGACCTTAAGATAGAGGGAAGGTCGTTGATGAAGCTGAAGATGGTTGGGCCTAGGACACTACCCTGAGGAACTCCTGCAGAGATGTCCTGGAGCTGAGATGACAGACCACAAACAACCACAACCAACTTCCTATGTGCCAGGTAGGACTCCAGCCACCGGAGCCTTTGCCCCCGATACCCATTGATTCCAGTTTTGCTCGGGCTCCTTGATGCCACACTCGGTCGAATGCAGCCTTGATATCAAGGGCTGTCACTCTCACCTCACCTCTGGAATTCAGCTCTTTTGTCCATGTTCGAACCAAGGCTGTAATGAGGTCAGGAGCTGAGTGGGCCTGATGGAACCCAAACTGGGCGTCACTGAGCAGGTTATTGCTGAGCAGGTGCTGTTTGATAGTACTGTTAGTGACACCTTCCATCACTTTACTGATGATGGGGTGGTAATTAGCCAGGTTGGATTTGTCCTGCTTTTTGTGTACAGGACATACTTGGGCAATCTTCCACATTGTCAAGTAGATCCCAGTGTTGTAACTGTACTGGAACAGCTTGGCTCGGGGAGCAGCAGGTTCTGGAGCACAAGTCTTCATTACTATTGCCGGAATGTGGTCAGGACCCATAGCTTTTGCAGTATCCAGTGTCTCTAACTGTTTCTTGATATTACGTGGAGTGAATCGAATTGGCTGAAGGCTGGTATCTGTGATCCTGGGGACCACTGGAGGAGGCCGAGATGGATCATCCACTCGGCACTTCTGGCTGATGATTGCTGCGAATGCTTCAGCCTTATCTTTTGCACTGATGTGCTGGACTCTTCCATCATTGAGGATGGGGATATTTGTGGAGTTGCCTCCTCCAGCGAGTTGTTTAATTGTCCACCACCATTCACGACTGGATGTGGCAGGACTGCAGAGCTTAGATCTGATCCGTTGGTTGTGGGATCACTTAGCTCTGTCTATCACTTGCTGCTTTCGCTGTTTGGTGTGCAAGTAGTCGTGTTTGGTGGCTTCACCAGGTTGATACCTCATCTTCAGGTATGCCTGGTGCTGCTCCTGGCATTCCCTCCTGCAGTCTCCATTCAACCAGGATTAATCCCCTGGCTTGATGGTAATGGTTCAGTGGGGGATATGCCGGGCCATGAGGTTACAGATTGTGCTGGAGTACAATTCTGCTGCTGTTGATGGCCCACAGCGCCTCATGGATGCCCAGTCTTGTGTTGCTAGATCAATTCTAAGTCTGTCCCGTTTAGCATGGTGATAGTGTCTCCAATTGGGTGGCACTAAGAAGCTGAAGAGGATTAAATAAAATCCCAGCCTCAAGGACAGAGCAGGAGGGGTGGAACTAATTGGACAGCAATTTCCAAGAGCCACCACCTAAACAGTGGGCTGAATGGTCTCCTTCTGTACAGTGAAAATGTTTGATTCAAAGTGGCAGAAAGGGTCCACCTGCCTGTTTTCCAGATGTAGCACTGACAGACAGGAGTGTTTTACATTCAGGATCTTAGCACCTATAGTCCTTACTGCAGTTAGCGTATACACCTCATCATCTCCTACCTGTCCATTGAGAATCAGGGAGAGTATGCCATGGCCTCCCCTCTCAGCCTTGGCATTGGCAGCTGCCATCAGGTCTCTCCTCCACTCTTCCTGCCACACCAGGCACCTGGGGAATACAAAACAAGACCACCATTCATCAGGACAACGCAGCAGTCAGGAACCCAAGCCAGAGACACTGATCGCGCAAGCCCACATTCCCTCCACTCTGCTGGCCAATCTGTCACTTCAACCCTTCAAAAGATTCAGCTTCTTAAAGTCTTACCTGCTGTGTTCTAATACACAGCATATCCCGTTGGTTCATTTCCCCCTGCACTGGCTTGTCATTAAATCAATCTTGATTTTTTAAACCGTCATACCAATTTTCAATAGTCTCCATGGCCTCTACTAACCACCTCCAGCTGTGCAACTCTCTGGTATCAGCACTCACCTACTTCGAACCTCTTGAGGATCCCCAATTTTAACTGCTCCAAGATTGGCGGCCATGCTGGCACTTGCCTGGAATTTACTCCCTAAACCCCTCCTCCTCCACGTCAGAGTTTGCACGTTTAAGAGGCTCCTTAAACAAGTTTTGGTCATTTACCCTATTATTGTAAGTGAGTGTGTCAGAGAAGATGCTACTGAATTACCTTGAGACCTTTTGGTCAGGTGTTACAAAATCCCAGGTAAGCCCAGCCCCGAAACCTCAGCCACTCACAGTTAACACTAAAGTCTGAAGATACCATCGAGCAGTATGCTGACTGCGCCTGAAGTTTTCACCTCCTCACTAATCTGGTCACCTCAACAGTGGATTCTTTCTTCGGTGAATGTATTTCTTGCTGGTTCCTTTTATCCAAGGGCATTTCACTATGGAGGTATCGCTGTAGCTAGCTGGTCTATATTGCTTAGTGGCTCCAATAAAAAAGGTCCTTCACTGTCAAGCCCAGGTTTCTGTCTCATTCCCTCAAAGAGGAGCTATTCCAGCCCAGGTCTAATGTTTAGAAATATTCCCTGCTCCTCTGAGTGGCCAGAGCTGGACATGAGGCTCGAAGTGGGTCCGAGAACACAGACCATTATTGGTTCTCAGCATCTGGCTGCCTCTGGATGTGGTTCACAATGAGTTCACGTGTTAACTGCAAGATCTGTCAGCACAGCAGGTCCCTCTCAACTTTGCCTTTAGCCACTTCTACGCTATTGACCTCTCAATGCAATAGCCAGCCTCAGTATCATCAGCAAACTCAAACATCAGGAACCGAACCTGACAATACCAGACCCGAACTCAAGTGAAACACTTGAGTGAGATGAGGCACTCAAATACAATCTATTAATAGTCACACCTCCCTCAAGCACCAGCAATCAAAGTGTCCATTATCCAGTGCAACACCTACCAAACACAATGAGTCTTACCTTGCCGCTGAGGAAAGCATTCCAATTCGCTGGGGTTTTATCTCAGGGCTCACTGACACCTCGGCTGAAAGAAAGGTCTCCTCTGTGGACGTGTCCCAGTTTCCAAAACCAAAAACAACCAGGTACTTTGGCAGGGGCAGCACTAACTGGCAATGGAATATGGAGCCATTGTGCTCTCTATAAGGCAAGAGACAGAAGTGGAAACAAGTCAAAACTCCAAGCTGGTCTACAGCTAGCTCAACACAAGGCTGCACAGCCTTCACACTCCAGCTTTGTGGTTGGGAAACCTCCACGGTAGGAGAGAAATTGTTTTTTTGAGAATTTTAATTCAGTTCAAAAATCTACAACAGAAAAATCAAGTTCCAGTAAATATAACCATTAGGTGTTAGATTGCCATAAAACCCCAGTTGGTTCACTGCGGTCTGTAAGAAAGGAAAACTTCCCTCCTCACCTACACACAAGTCCACTTCACTGATGGCTTTTTGATGAAGTGATGAAAATGATTGATGAGGGTAAGACTGTGGATGTAGTCGACACGGACTTTACTAAAGCATTTGAGAAGGTCCCTCATAGTCGACTGGTCCAGAAGGTTAAGTCACACGGGATCCAGTGAGTTGGTAAGTTTGATACAAAATTGGCTTGGTCATAGAAGACAGAGGGTAGTTATGGAAGGGTATTTTTCTGACTGGAGGTCTCTGACCAGTGGTGTTTCACATGGATCAGTACTGGGACCTCTAATTTCTATAAATGATTTGGATGGAAATGTATGTGTTCTGATTACTGAGTTTGCAGATAACACGAAAATTGGTGAAGTTGTGGATAGTGAGAAATGTTGTCAAAGGCTATAGCAAGATGTAGATCAGTTGGAAAGTTGGATGGAGAAATGACAGATGAAGTTTAATCTGGGCAAGAGTGAGATAGAATCATACAGTAATACAGCATAGAAACAGGCCCTTCAGCCCAAATTGCTCCATGCTACCCACTCAGCTGGTTCCAATTGTCCACATTTGGTCCATATCCTTCAAAACCCTTCCCATCCACGTACCTATCCAAATGGTTTTTAAATGTTGCTATTGTACTTGCTTCAACCACTTTCTCTGGCAGCCCATTCCATATACACATCACTCTCTGTGCAAAGAAGTTGCCCCTCAGGTCCTTCTTAAATCTTTCCCCTCTCACCTTAAACCTATACCCTCCAGTTTTCAATTCCCTAAATCTGAGAAAAAGACTATGTGCAGTATTGAACGCCGATATGCAGTCAGTCTTACTTCTGCAGTGGGTAAATTATTGTAGAGGATTCTGAGAGATAGTATATATGATTATTTGGAATTATTTGGATAAGAAATAGTCAACATGGCTTTGAGAGGAGATAGTAGGAACTGCAGATGCTGGAGAATCCGAGACAACAAGTTGCAGGGCTGGATGAACACAGCAGGCCAAGCAGCATCATAGGAACATAGAGGCCGACGTTTCGGGCCTAGACCCTTCATCAGAAAAGGGGGAGGGGAAGGGGGTTTTGAAATAAATAGGGAGAGAGGGGGAGGCGGATAGAAGATGGATAGAGGAGAGGATAGGTGGAGAAGAAACAGACAGGTCAAAGAGGGGGGGATGGAGCCAGTAAAGGTGAGTG